CCACAAGCCACTCTGCCCCACTTGGGATTAACCTTCAGGTAAGATGCTCATTCTTACCATCTGTCATCACTCAACAACCCTTTTTCAAAGGCACACTGTGACCACTACACTTGCTGCTTCGCCCAAATTCTGAGCACTGTAACTACGTTACATTTGTTGTTTAGTCACCATTCCTTACCTCCCAGCCAGTTCAAATGAAAAGACAAAAAAAAAAATGTTCCTCACTTCCTTTTCACAAAGCTCTGCACGCGCAATCACCGCATTTCAGGCCAGCAGCGGCTGCAATTCTACAGTAAATGACACACACCCCCAAGGTTATGTACTCGGTAACCTTTGTGAAGGCACCCTGGGATCCATCTCAAACACTACAGGAATCCACTGGGATTCAAAGCCCTTTCTAAATCTAAGATCCCCGTCATTCAGTCAGTGCAATGGATATTGGCAAAATTCGTTTAACTTTAAAATAACATTTGTTTAGCAATGATAGAATAAGGGTCTGCCTAAATTACAGAACTCCGTTCCATAATCCATAGGTATTAAATCTTTCATTTCTCAGAACTCACGTGAAACTCTGTAAATCTTGGAAGTATTTTTCATCTGCATGTGTCTTTGGTTCTTCTCTCGGACGCTCTGCATGTAGGAGTATGATAAACTGATAACCCCTCCAAGAATAAATGAAAAAGCATTGTGGCAGCAAGTAAAGTCAGAATAAAACCATGCCTTGAATTCCTTGCTCATGGAAAACAGCACACAAACTCTCTTTGACACCAAGGAGTGCCTGGATTTCACACTACTTCCCTTAAACAAATGTCCATGAGTTTCAGACCTTCCTCAAAAACAAGCTGTCCACCAATTTATGCTAAAAGGAACACCTTGAAGCTCTAAATGGGAACTCCTCCACTGCACAACTTGATCTCACCAGGAAACAGCACATGGAATAGTCAGCACAAACCACCTTTGCAGATTTACCAACCAATGAGGCTAAAAAGCCAGGTGTCAAACACTGAGCAGGAAAGCTAAAACAGCTTCAGTATCTCACATTTAATTAGAGACCCCGAACCATAAAGAGAAGGTTTAGCAAGACAGGAGCAAGCTGAAAGGCAGTGTAACAAAATTTGCTTAAAAGCTATCAAAATGCTCACCAGCCACCAGAAAACAGGAGAGTAATGGATGTGAGGTAAACATTACTGATTTCCTCGCTACAGGCTTTGAAGAATGCAGCATGTACATCACAAGGCTTTTATGATGGGCCTAGTTAATATGAATGCCCATTATAGTTGCTGTACTACACTATCCTGAAGGCCACAGAAACAAACAAGCTCTGCCAGGTGACCAAAGTAGAAAAGCTTTCAGGAGAAAACACTCATAAGCACTTCTCCAAGCCTCTCTCAACACCATTCCTCTGTATTTAGACAAAAGTTCAGAATTCAGAGCAATGCTTGCAGTCATTTTTCATTCAATTATATTTCACGGATAAGATGTTCAAAAGTGACCTCTAATTTCAGAAAATGAAATCCCTCAGAACATGTTCGGATATCCAGGGACTGCTTGCAGAACTGCCAGGCAAAACTGGCACTGACACCTCTTGCCCAGTGCTTCAAATATGCTATTTTGGCTTTGTGTTGAAATGAGGATTTAGAATTTTGATTCTAAGGGGACACAGCTTAACAATTTCCAGTACTTAGGTTGAAGTACATGAAATAAATACTTCTGGGAGCTTAGCTTTAGGAAAAGAATCAAGTCTCAGGGCAGAGAAGAAGTGATGAAGAAAGCAAGGGTGCTGACTTTAAGCTGCAAGGCTTTAAAATACTGCAATAAACACATAACCACCCACACTAAAATATCTTACATGAGTCAGTAAATACATGTATATACTCTAGGACTGCAGCCATGTTGTTAAGCTTTCTTTTTCGCTGTATTTTTCCCCTAAATGAAAGCCATTCTCCCTTCTTTCATCTCACAAAATGAGAGCACCTTTTTCTCCCTCTGAAGAACTACTGTATCTCCAGAATAATGTATTTTTAGCACTTTGGCATAAGCTTTGTTTCCTTGTGACTACCAAGGAAACTGATTCAGTTCAGTGATCCAATGAAAAACAACTTTTCTTTTTTTTTTTTTTTTAATAAATTCCATTATTAGTGGCATCGTTGCTATTACATTCCAAATATTCAGGTTCCTTAGCTCAAGAGAATACAATGTAGGTTTTTTTTAATGCCAAAATATTTCCCAGGTTGCAAAAGCCTACATGCTGGAGCCTACCCCAAAATAACAGCATCATTCAGGTTACCCCAATGACATTTACTCAGTGACCCTCATGGTGAACCTGAGATGCCTGGTCACAGTCTAGTAAAGCACGGTGTGCAAACTCAGCTGCAGAACTGCAGCAGCTCGAGGCACAATCCTCATTTGTAGGGTGAGAGAGAAGAAGGCTGAGCCCTAAGCTCAAAGACCATAGAGCTCACAATGATGCAACAAGTCCACTGGAGGACCAAGAGGCTGAAAGGGAAGCAGGTGTTTGCAGCAGGATTCCAACTAGGTGTTGATTAAAATTTCAACTTTTCAATTAGAAGATGTCAGTTTGAAACGCCCAGAATAGTCAAATGTAATTGTTGTCAGCCTCTGGAAACTCTGAGAAGGAAAAACAGCTAGTGAAAAACTTGAAGCCTTCAATACATACCACAAAAACTCAATAGAAATTTTTATATGTTTTGTGGGGAAACTTGCTTACCCTTCTAAGACTACTTAAGTACAGTGGATCAGAGATGCTACTGACAAAATAAGAATAGAGGAAGAAATATAGTGAAGAGTAATCAGCAATTCTACTAAAGGCAAGAGAGATCCTGTGAAGGTGAAACCTGTAAGGGGACACCCTTGACATTCAAACACAGTTGCAAGAAACCACTGGTATCTCCTGTAACAGGAAAAGTGGAAAGTCATTCTAAGCTAAGTCAGTCATTATTTTCAGGGAAGTCTGAATGACAAAAAGCCTTGGAAGTGCTGATCCCACATTCAGTGTTACCTGGGCTTCTGATTAGTAACACTTGATCCTTCTGAACATGCATATAGAATGAATATGCAGGAACCTGTACATGAATTCACTCAGTAACAAGAGGCAAAAACAAAAAAAACCCACAAACCATAATCAAGAAAAAAACAAGTGTAATGCAAAGAAAGTCATATATATTTGAAATAATACTTGAAAACACTTCTAAAATTTCACTATCTTTGCCATGCAATTTATTCAGAAAAGTTATTTGCAATAACCAGGCTTTAAAATAGACAGATCATAAAAGGGCAAGAGGTTTCCTTTTCTTTTCCAAACTCATTTTCTTATATCATGATGTATGGAACAGATTTTGTGGAAAATATAATTTACTAAGTTGATAACTCTGTTCCAAATAGTCATACATCAAATAGCATTACAAACAAACGCTGTAATAAGCAACAGGTCAGGCAATTGTATCTATTTCAGAACTTCAATTCCAAGATTAACTGCTTCATATTTTATTTGGTAAAAGCTGTTACAGAAGGCACATGAAGAGATCAAAGGCTTAAAAAAAAAACAGCTAAGAGAGTGAAAATAAAGACTATTATTAATATGAAACACTATTTTATAAAGTTGCTAGGAAATGAAAAAAGGGTGAAGCTAAATTCTAATGGAAGACATGTTTGCTACTACTTGTTTATCTTACAAATAAAAACACACCTTTGTTTCTGGGAAGTATGTCTCACCTTTAAGGAAATACACTCACTTCAATTTTAATAACCTCAACTTCCAACCAATAAAAACATGTCTGATTTGTTTGGGGCTTTTTCTTCCAAAACCCCCCAGCTGCAGGTAGCTCTCCAAAACCAAGCCAAATTCCTCACCTCTAACAGATTTTGCTCAATCCTTATTTGGATTAACCTCTAATCAGCCTGCTAGTTCTTACCTTCTCTAATCCTTTCACCTTTACTACTTCATTTCAGCAACAGTTTGCCTAGGGTTGTTTAAAGAGGCAGCTTTGGCCATACCTGAGCAGATTCCCAGGCAGCACAGACACACCTAAGAAATGCATGCAGGTGAAGCAGTCACCTACGTGGAGCCAGACTGTACCACAGAGATAAGTTCTCAGAGTGAAGCTCTCAAAAGCACCTAGGAAACCACCCCAACCATTTTCAGACTGAAATTCTACAAAAAGACCCCAGATTTGAAGATGTGCATCCAGCTAGATCAAATCAAAACCACAAAAACCTCTCTGACAACTGGCTAAGCTGCAGTATTGTCAAATGCAATCTACTTGCTCTTTTGGGCAAAGAGGACACCTTGGCACATTCCCCAAAGTGGTATTTTGTCTCTCCCCCCAACCCCTTCTTATTTCTGCTTAAATGAAAGATTATCAGTCACTAGAATCCAAACACAAGACAGAGAGATACCAACCACAGTGTGTGCTAGTTACATCAGTACAGATACAGTTAAAAACCGTAAACAGCTTCTGTACCCAAATTAGTGATTTGCTCAATTCAAATTCTTGCAAGCAATTCCTCAAAGAAAATCTTCAAATGCAGTGAGGAACAACTTTTATGCTCTGTTAATCTTTCCTCCTTAAGCTTGAAGCACTATGATTCCCCACTTCAAGAGGGTATGAGAAGACTGTAGCAAATTCAAAATCCTTATGCAAACTTCTATGGGCAATGTCAGCAGAAGTCTCCACGCTCACTCTGTCATTATAACGATAAATTATGCTGCTGGCCAAGATTTCAAAGATGACCACTGACTTTTTGCTCTTGTTTTATCTTATTCACTAAAACTGCATGTCAGTTTAAGGGTGGGGGGGATCCTGGATCTACTCTCCACCTGTGCTCAGAATGACTGAGTTCAAAACTAGATCCTTACAACACACATTTCATTCATTACCAGTTCAACCAATATGCAAGATGCCTGTGGCACATGAAACACTGCATTAGAACACGTTTTCCAACTCATAACCTCCTGCACTCTACAACAAAGGAGCACTTACTGCCATTGTCGTCAGAGTCCTCACTGCTGCTAGGAAGCCGATGTCGTTTCATGATCTCCCCGGGAAACAGCAGGCAGCCTGGGAAGCAATGAGACAGCACTTAACCCCAGGTAATAACACAGTCATCAACTTGTGCTTCTGATGGCATGCGAGCATTTACAGCACACAAAGGAAAACAAACAACTCCAGCTGCAGCTGAAATATGAACAGTGAACCTCTCAAGGATGCTTAATTAGGCTGTTATCATATGAGCAGGTGAACAACACTGGAGAGTGGCAATGACAATCCCACCAATGCTCTCCCCACACCAAAACCACCGTGTTTTGTCCTGAGAGGTGTAAAAATCACTAAATATCCGCAGCCAATGTGCTTAACTTCCCCTGCTTATTCTGACACTAGATTTGCAATACAATAACGTTTTTACTGCTTGTGTAAATATTTACTTTGGCTAATATATTTTTGGAGCAATTTTATTCCTGTTTAAAGTGCCAGATTTACGAAATCGGAGATTAAAGTCATCCAGTTAGACATAAAAAAATGAAACATCAGCAGTAGCAAGCCCAGTTTTCCCAGATTAACTAAACATGCATCATCTATGCCCTGGAAAGCACCACCCTCTAAGATGAGAGAGTTACTTCCTCCTGAAGGCACATTTCTAGCGCCATGCCTACAACCCTAGCTGTTCCTTGGGAGTAAGATTATTCAGATGATTATTCAGAGGTTCCTCCAAACTGCCAGATTTCTACCAATACCAAATTCATGGACGCATGGGCTTGTGATAAAAAGGCCAAAAAATTCCAAGTCCTTTTAACTGCTATTCTCAGGGCACTGACATTTTCATGTGTATTCCCTGTGGAATGAAACCAAATTCAGAAAAAAAAAAAAAAAAAGGAACTGTAAATAGCTACTCAGTACTTACATGTAAAAAGCTATTAAAAAGTGCAAGTTGAAGAGCAGAAAAAAAACATGACAAGTCCAGAAAGGCATATCCACCATAAGATAAACTGACAAGGACTCTAGATGCACATCAAAACCCCTGAGTCTTCGCTTACCACATATCAATTGTGATATCAACAAAGTCTGGGCACTCTGCTGCAAATCCCTCACACCTACCTTCTGCACACAGATTTGGAGATCAGGTGCCAAAATATTCTTTTGCTTCTAGCTAAATGCAGAAAATCTAACCTTATTTCCGTGTGAGTTCGGACTTCCTCAAAACCTCTCAACAAAGCTCTTTCCATTGATCCTTCGTGTAAGAATTAACTGCTTCAACTTTGTTCAGTGAGAACAGGGCTCACTGTAAGAAATTCAGTAATGCCTTCAACTCTTATAAGACTGATTCCCAAAATAAGAAAACCCAAAAAGCCTAACAAAGCCTGGCACTATTTACAAGAGAGCACAAAAATATCTGCTCTTCCCAAAGTGATTCATATATAAAGAAATTAGCATTTTTGAAAGAATTCATTTTGTCACCGCTAGCAAGTTACAAGCAACTGAACCTGAGATCTATTTTACACTTCCAGAGAACTTAATACAGTTCTAAGAGCATGAGCATTGCAGGCTTGCCTCCTTTTTCATATTATATGTGCAAACAGAGTTGGGGGGAAGCCTCCCTCCCACACAGACTGGCTTTTCAGAGCAGGATTTAATACACCCGTCACTGAAACATGTAACAGTTTTGAACTGCAAATTTTGCTCACTAAAGAGAAGCTGAATGGTTCACCTCACCAAGACCTTTTGTCACCATTCCATAGAGTAAGAGTTCACATACAGTGTCTGATACCAGAGAATAAAGAATCATCAATGGCAGCCTCTCACAGAGCCAGAAGAATTCTCTCCAAAAATTGCTTTGAAGCAGGCCAGAACTTTGTGTGTATGGGAGACAGAAATGCTGCCAGTGGATAAATACACAGACCAGCCAGGACCATCAAAACCCACTGAATACAGATCTGGTAGAAATGCAGGAGATCCAGAGCCAAGTTCCTATACAGTCACTTAGAAAGACAGAAAGCAAACATTCAGATTCAAAACAAGCTAAGACAAAACTGAAAAATCAATTTGCTCTTACAAGGCCAAACTAGGGGGATGAGTATCTATCTGTAAGGTAATTCTTCTATTAGTTCACATATTAATAATAGCAATGTAAAAGAAGATATTAATTTAGCAAAAATCTCCCATAAACAAAGTAAAGAAAATTTGGAAGGAAATACAGGAAAATTGCCCTATCTCAGAAGTGTAATTTGTATATTCCTGGTCAAAATTCTCACTTCCTGGTTTATTTCCCACATGGTCTGAAAAGCATAATACACTGTTAAGCAAAATAACAGAATGTAAGTACACTAAGACACACCTGTGAACTTGTAGCAAACAAGAAAATTTGGAATTCTGCTCCTTCACATCTTTTCAGAAAAGCGTATTTTGGGTTGACTTTCTTCTAACATACTTTCTGCAAATTCAAAAAAATAAGGAAAGAGATGGAACCTTCTTCCTCCCACCACATGTCTTTAAAAACACAAACTGAACATCTCCTTTTTGGTTGCTGTTCAAAGGAAAGAGTGGTAATCACATGTCCCAGTTTAAGCACTCTCCAGAGGTTTTTCAGGAAATAAGCCAGAGCAGAAGCCACTGTCCTGAGTACAGGGTATAGATAAGGCACCTAATTTCCCTGTCCACTCTAGTCAGGCATCTGAAGTTGGCCACCCTGAAAAACCTGTGTTCTCAATAGTAACATTAAAAGAAATATCCCATTTGATGAAGCTCCTGTGAGATTGTTTGATAGATCCATGCAGAAAAAAAAATTAAAGAGTTAAAACTCGGAGATCTCATTTTCCCATCTTTGAACCTAATCTGAGTTTACAGGGAGCTAAATACCAGATGAAAAAACAGCATTTGGCTTCTTAGAGCAAGACTCAAACCCCTTAAGATTAACCCCCTGGAATTTTTGTCATTAGAAGAACAGCTTTTTTCAACCTCTAAAATCATTTTAAACTGCTCCCAACAGATGTTCATATCCACAGCCCAGAACACATGTTCTAGAGATAACACTGGAACAGCTAATAAGGCTTAAAACCACACACATTGAAATGCTTTTGGTTTAAGGGTATCACAGTGCCTCTGCCTCAAAGGCTACTGGTTTCTGTCAGGTGGTGGGTGACTCAAAGTCACACAAGAAACACGTTAAGAAGTGCACATTAAAAATAAACTTGGGTTATGGATAGTGATAGTTTTATGCAGACTGATACTGCACGTTTTTCCCGTTCCAGCAGGCATACACTGCAACCACTGTAAGCAAAGAGACTTCACATGTAAGCATAAAAATGGTAAAACATTTGAGGCCAGTTTTAATTTAATACCAGGAGTAAAAGCTATGCACCCCAGCCTGCAACACTTGCAGGGCAGGAAGAGACACCCAGATGACTGAACTCAATTCCCAAGTGCGTGCAAACACGTAATTGCTGCCCAGCCCCGAAGTTTCCACAAAACATCCACTGCACCCACACATGCCACAGAATGACCTCCCAAACCCCTTCGCAGAACCAGCAGTGCTCTGAAGCAAGGACACAGGCAGCCAAGCAGTGCTCCTGAGTGAACCCTGGATCTCCTATCAAACATTTCTACAACTGTTTTTCCCAAATTCTTACACCAGCCCCAAAAGTGTGTTTGCCCAACACCCTGTTTGTTCACCTGAAGAGAAAGGCCAGCGCTTCAAAAGCTGCTGCAGAGTCCAACTACCCTAAGATGGCAAAGGCTGCATCACCAAGCCACACTCTCTATCAGTTTTCAGTGACTTCTGTGAATTCTTAATAACTCAGCAACCTTTGTACATAAACTTTCAGTTTCTTTTCCTCCAAAGAGGAAAGACCATTGTTTCTTTTTGTTAAAACCATCCTTTCAGAAATCAGTCAGACCAACACACAGCATGCTGATCCTGTCTTCTCCTGAGCATGCCAGTATAACATTTAGCCATTTATTGGGAAGGAACCAAACTGGGCTGAGACTAATGCCAGCCTTCAGCCAAGCACAGCTTTCGAGAAACAGCCACAACTCTGCTGGCAATGTTACTCCAATTTCACGGGCAGCAAAGCATCCAAGAGCACTTCATGCATTCACATCACCATGATAAATGGCACAAATGGGACAGAGACCATGCCTTTTTAGTCCCCAGTCACCCTCAGATGAGCTAGCCACACCAGGGCAGCACCGGTGAAAGCAAGCACACCTTGCAACACGTGCCACTGTGCTGCTCCAGAGGCTGAAGGTGCTGCTCTGTTTTACAGCAAGACGTCACCAAGTCACTTTTCCATCCTTTTTAATTGTGCTTGTTCTGAAAGTTAAGCTCTGGGTTTTACTCACTGGTTAGATACAAACTTTAAACGTAAGAATGTGATTCTGAACTTCAATGGTGGATTTGATGAAATTGTTTTTGAAGGCAAAATTTACACCACCTGAAACTGGCTTCTGTATTTTAGAGAGCGTGGGAAGTCTTTTCTCAAAATACTTGCAAATGCTGTGCAAATGAAATGACTAGACAAGAATCCAATATAATCAATGTCAGGCCACACAATAGCATTTGAATTTACATATCCTTGCGGAGCTGAGCAACAAACACCTAAATCTATACAAATAACTAGATGCAGGTAGGCACTGTCCATTTCCCAGTATTTGATGACAGATGCAGTGCAATGGGTTACACTCAGGAACCTGACACAGTACAGCAAATTCACTAATTTTAGCAGCATGCATTACCATGCTACTCCACCCTTACCTCTCCGAGAGATAAATTACCAAAAAAACCCAAAGACCCCACTCGACAGTGATGTCGAGACCCTTCCTTTTTTCTCCCACACTGGAGTCCCAGAAGTTGCACTGGTATGAGCATAAAAAATGCAAAGAGCAGAAATCCAGACACTACCCCGTGAAACTGGGACAACAGCATGCAAACACATGCACCCATGTGCCACACACCACGTGCACAGTTAAGGACCCCACATAGTTCTTCATGCAGTTTGACCTCAAGTAGAGAGGCAATCAAAGAGAAAGATGTAAAGTGTGTCAGTCCTTGTTATGCAAATAGCTAAACAGAACCAGATTGTAAAAAAAAAATTATACATGGAAAAATTTACATCCTCGGGTCAAAGGTTTTCCACAGCACAATTCTTACTGAAGTATTTTCAAGGGCTGCATAAACCCCTGGGTAAAAGAGTGTATAATTCAAACTCTGACAGACAATTAACTGTAACCATGTTAACGGGTGTCACTATAACAAACTGCACTGAACAGCTGCAGAGACAGAATGGGAAGAAAGCAGAGTTATGACAGATGTACACCCTGAAGACAAACTGAAAAACTGGCTTCTCCTGAAAGTAACCCACTAACTGCGATGAAACGAAGACCTAATTATCTCTAGTACACAAGAAATTGCTTCAGAACACCTATTGTACAAATGGAAGTGAAGTGTGACACAGCTTAATAAAATGGATAGAAGATGGAGACATTTGGCTTCTCCTACTGGGCTCTTTTTAAATAGCTTATTTATAACACCACCCCTTCTTCACTGACACCTGACATCTCAAGAAGCCTTTTTGATACTACTGTAGACCTAAACAAAAAAAGAAACCACATCAGAAATAAGCTGTATTACTAAAATCCACCTAAAACTTTAAAATACCATAAAAGCTTTCACAGCAACATTTTATAGTCACAAGGATAGAAGGAGAGTTCTGAAATGAAATATTCACCAAGGGAAATATAGGTTGGATATTGGGAAGAAGTTTTTTACAGAAAGGGTGATAAAGTATTGGATGGTCTGTCCAGGGAGGTGGTGGAGTCACCACCACTGGATGTGTTTCGAAAAAGACTGATGTGGTACTT